GGATTGAGATTCTTAGTCAAACAAAACAGGAAATATGAAGATGTCCACTGAACTCTGAAACTTACATGGAATCAGTCTTTTCTGACATTTCATATACTAAATAACTGCTGCAAATCAAGGAAATAAGTGGAAGATTAACCAGTGATGCAAAAGTTAGTTAAATCAAATAATTTACATATTTAGTACAAATAGTAATCAATGTTCTGTCTATTTATGGCTTTTATTGAATGAAAAATTCAGGTTACACTATGTAAGTGCATTTAGACGCTGGTAGATAATTTATCGACATGATTTATAAAGACTGAAAAGTGACATTTACAGTAGATCTCACACAACTCACACTGGGATGGCTCACAGCTAAGCCTTGTACTTTTAAATCCCATTACAGAGCCAGTATTTTCGATCCCATAATTTCCCTGCTCAATCATAAAATGATGTGATTGCCCAGAAGGAGAAGTTGTCCACAGGCTGGGTAAAAATGGTTTCTACCATCAGTCAAAAATATTAAATTGGAATGCAACATGGGGAAGAGCTCAAGGCCACAGTTGAGCTGCAACTTCTTTTTCAGCATGCTTCTATATCAGTACGTTGACATCTATGAAGAAACTGTAATGAAACATGATCACAAGTCAATTGCAGTGTAGAAAGACAATACTCAGTGTATATTATCAGTCTCACCAGTAATAACAAATCAATGGAGCCAAAACCTTAACCTCACCTTAAAAATAGTGCCATACAGGGATGATGTATTTTTGTAGGCCAGCCCTGGTCCCCTCGACAAAAAGCCAGTGGGATTTTGCCATAGGTTTCTGGATTGTTGCAGAAAATAAACTCTGTCAGTCCTGGATTAACTTATTTATCTGTGTGATAGATCTCCATTGTTGCTCAAAAATGATTAAAAACATTAGACAAACACTGCTGCACTGGGTGATATTCTTTCCAAAACAAAACACCAGAGCTGACTATGCTGCCACATAGTGTGGCCATACTTTCCTGAAGTTAGTGAGTCAGAGTCAATTGCAGATGCATGATATTTTGTGGGAGCTCTCAGCTTTGTTTACAGTCTGCTAGCTTCTCATGCTCAGGTCTGGTGTTTGATAATGAATATGTCATGATATTTTCTAAGTGAATCCCATATAAACATATAATCCTATATAAACATGTACATGTAATATACAACTTAATATAAGAAATCAATTTCTCTGGATTTTGTTTTAATATGCTGCAGAATTTCTGTCATTTTGTTAAAAGACGAATTCAACTGTCACACTAGGCAGGGGTCCGATCACAGAGTTCATGGTTACAAAGAAAACTTTATTAATTCAGAACTCCGTGGTAATACAAAAAAAAAAAAATCATCACAACCAACAAACCCAGCAGGTAAGACTTGTTTGCAAGGGATCCTGCATTAAATAAACAGGAAAGAGCCATTTCAAGAAAGGGATTGGAAGAAGTGGCTTTAACTGTAAAAATATTGCTTCTGTGTGGACTGCAGACTTCAGTGATCCAGAGCCAGATTCTTACTGGGGAAATGTTCGGTTATGGCTAAACATTATAATAAATCTGTCTACTTGCTCCTTTCCTGGTAGGATGCAAATCACTGTTTTTAAAAAGACCCCACTTGGTGTAGAAGGAATTTTAAATTTGAAATGAAAGCAAGTAGCAGTTTTAAACTTTTACGAAAAAGACAAAGTCTGCACTATTAGTGGGAGTGGGACCAGATTGGACAGCTCCTACATAGGCTGTCAACTGTGGAGGCCAGACACTCTAGTTCATATTGCAGTTTAATTGACTGCCTGGACATGACGTCATGTGTGCTGACATGAACATGTGGACAGAGGGTGAATATGAAGGAGATCAACTGTCCGTTCTGCTGAAAGACAGTATGTTGCAGCAGCAGAGAGCTTTATAAATCAAAGCCCAAAGTATGGCCAGGGACATCGCAATCCCTGTAGCTTCCAAAGTCAAGGGCTGGTGGCTGCTGTATGTACAGTATTGGATAGCATAAACATACTGTATATTGAATTAATTAGATTTTTTATATTTGAAGTGGGCTCAACATGTCGAAATGGGAAGCAGGCCAAAGATTTTGTGCACCATATTACAAAGAAATAATGTTAGATAGGATCTGAAAAACAACAAAATTCTCTCATCCTGTTAGATGGTTCTAAAGACAGATCTGTGAAAGAAGAGGAGTAGTTCATGTCAGATTCTGTCACAAGGGAAAGATCGAGTTGAAGTTTGTTGGCATCCAGTCAGTGGAGAAGGCACACACTGCACACATAAGCAGTGTCATCGTGGAGGGAGTGTTTGATGAGTCGGGGACCAAGTCGGTTGCTGTGTAAACACGCACAGCTCCTCTGATGACCAGAGCCAAGAATGGTGTTGTCAGCCAGCTGAAGGGGGCCGATATCACTGGCATCCACTCTGCAGCACACCACCAGAAAATACTACAGCAATGCCAGGGAGACTGATTACATCAACAAGAGAAGGAGAATGAGTTTGACTGAGTGTGTGTTGTAAAGGTAAAATTTGAAAAGATGATCAAATGAGCCTTTTATCATCAGATAATGGCCCATGAAGGCTACAGTGGCCAACATCCAAGGGAATTACACTGCCCAGAGATGACAGCAAGACCCTCATCACACAGGACAAACTGACTGACAGGCTACCAAAGAATATGACTGACAGGTGTTCCAGTACAGGGGTTCTATGCCACTAAACTCATCAGCTTCACCAACTGGTCACAGTCAGGACATGCAGCAGCATGATGCTTGTTGTAAAGTAATGTACACTGTACAATTTTTATACATTTTAGTGACAGTGAATTGGAAACTTTGGTGGGCCACTTCAAGCCTGTCCTGGAGCCTTGTGACATCCATGCTGAAAGGATCCCTGGCCAGTAGACTGTCCTGAAGGCACTGACGTACTAAGAATTCCAGTCCACTGCAGATGTCCTGGCTTGGTGTCAACAGGAGCCATCAGTTTTATTTACAGTATATAGCACCAAATTACAACAAAAAGATTTAATCTCAGGGGACTTCACGTGTGTTGCGTTTCCACGAGCAGTATACCCCCCCACTTCCCTTAACCATCACCAAGCACAGCCTCCAGGGTTGACACAGAACATCCTGCTTTGTTTTTGTACTCTATTGTCTCTCTGTCCATCTCTGTTTAGAGGAGGGAGGGGCTGCTCTTCTCTCACATGCATAGTCAACTGTGTGTTTACACACAGTGCATGTAAAGCTAATACCTAAGGCATGAAGCCGCAGACATTTAATGAATCATGGGTGAATGCTTTGCATACACGCACCCCTTCCCCCCTCACATTCTTGGTACTTGATTTTAGGACTTCCTCCTGAGGGATGCTTAAATTTAGCTGCCAGACGTTACCTCCAAAGCGGGCCGAGTGTAGTGGAAACAAACACAGAACCCGTGATGAGCGTTACTCGCCGTGACACGTTTTGGTAGGTTCCTATAATGGAAAAACTCTCATATTAAGGTCTAGAACTTAGTATTACAGAGAAAAGCCCAACAAATCCCCCTTGAGCATTACTCAGCAACAGTGGGGAGGGAAAAACTCCCTTTAATGGAAGAAACCTCCAGCAGACCCCGATCTTGTCCTCACCTGCCTCCACTGAAACAACAAATGTTTAGGCAATTTATTATTTTGGCCAGTAAAGAAAATACACTTGGCTGGTGGATTTCTTCTTTTCTCAGCCACCTTAGCTGGTGAGTCAATTTCAAATCCTGCTTGCATGTGTGACTGGACATCCTGATTTGTACATAAAACAGAGCAAACTAGAATAACTGCTTCACAATTGTATGCCTCTGCCATCCAGTCAAATTCAAATCCCAGTCAAAATGGGACAATACATGAGGTCACTGTGACCTTGATCTTTGCCCACAGAAATCTAATCAGTTCATCCTTGAATTCAAATGGACATTTGTTGCAAATATGAAGAAAATCCCTTCGTATTTGTGAGATATCGCATTAAGACTGGGGCAGATGTCACTGTGTACCAGACACTGACACTAATAAAAACTACAGTAATGGACTATCAAACTTCTAAACCATGGACATTGTGCTGAGCTGAGGGACTGTTTTATTTTCTGACTGCTCTGAGACCTTAGTTAACCCTGTTCTCACACATTTCCTTGAGCTATATTTGTTCTTCATTGGGAGGCTGTTGCAGAAGCTGGAGGCTCAAGTAAAAATAACAGCAAAATAATTATTTCTACTTAATTATTCTGTAAATATCAAATAAATAAATGGCTGATGTTTTGCTTGCACTATGAAAGCATTACCTGAAGGTGACCTGATGTTGCACTGATGCAGGTCACAGAATCTGACAACCACAGAACACAGTGTAACACCTCTAGGATGAGGCCAAGCATTCGTCCTTCTGAAGTTATTAACAATAGCACCAATTCTTACTTTAACACGCTGGACACCTGATGAATATTTAAACAAAGAACCTGTCTTCCCCCTTTTACCATGAGTACCTACCTACAAATATCACATTTTTCACTTGGTCTGTTGAATTTGCAGCAGTTGGGCTGGTCTGCCATGTTGAGTTTGTGTACATCTTTCTTTTGGCAATGTGTGTTACTGTCAGAGAAGCCAAAGACTGCAAACTAAACAGAGAATTTGAATGTCAGCTTTAACTGGCCATTAAGTTTCACAAATCTGGGTATTTTACCAAATTGGAATGAATCCAAAGTAGAACCAACTATAG